TATCTATCTATAAGTACATGTAAGATCTAATTACTTTACAGCTATTACTACTACTGATATTTATTTTAAGCATACAGTAATAACTATTTTTCTGCTACATCTTCTATTTCATCTTGTGTATGAATATATTTCACATTTCTGGAACAAATAAAGGGAACATTTTGACTTTGCCCATAACTGAATAACACAGTAGTAATGGTAAGGCAAACATATTTGGTGGTACACATGGTATATTTCACATATTGCCCATTCCTTTGCTTAAACCATGAAAATACAGGGTTCTTAGTGATGGGTTAGGAAAAGTAAAATATGAAAATGTGATGACAACAAAGTTTGTTTTCACACCAATGATATTCTTTCATGTTATTGTGGGATAGAGTAGAAGAAAAATTGCTCACGATGGAAGCCACTGCAGTCTATTGAGGTGCCGCCGTGGTGAATGGAAACCTTCCAGTCATCCCACTGGCCCTCGTTTCCATTATCTTAAGACCCAGGCTGCTATTATCATTCCTCAATAAGACTATAATGAGAAGCTGGGTTAAAACCAACAAGCGGATAAGGTAGACCTGTATATAAACGGCTCTGATCTGGACCAGTCGAAACCATTTTCTCATACAATGTACATAATGCTTTCAGTGAGCAACTGAGTAAGTGATTAAGTGTGCGAGTAAAAACTGTGTGTTGAGATTTAAAATCTACTCATCTTTAAGTAAGTAGAAGATATTAAGTTCCCCTCTAGGTCATATGAGCCATGTCATTTTTATGGCCATGTCAATAAACAGCAGTCTGAGGCCTCTCAAGCACAGTTAAATCTGGAGGGAGAAATTCTGATATGAATTCAACAGAGTAGCATTCAGGAGGAGAAAACCTCACCAAACATTGGAGCTACCATTTTCACTGGGGGCCCAATAAGAGTGGCCACTTTTACTGGATATTTTCCAATGTTCTCCTAATTGTGTCTACTCGACATAATCCAGCCCAAGGCTCCCCCAATATCCATAACCATAACCACTTCCCTTCGACCCACGTTCACGCTCCATGTCAATAAGAGCAGGAATGCGTTAAAACAGAATCTATCCTCCTGCAGCCCCACATTACTATCAATAGCTGCCTTTCAGTCCGCACGCGCTGCTAGTATTGTCACAGGGTGGGCTGCACTTTGAGGCTCCTTACAGGACTTCTAAAAACCTGATACCTGCACACGGTGTGGTGATGTGTGTGTATATGTACAGTATATATGTTATGACCCAGGTCCTGCCCTATGACGTATTGCAACATATAGTGCAGACTCTGTGTAGTCTGCAGCTCCCTAAGTGAGAGAGAAAGCAACCACAAACTGGCTTGGGATAATATCCCAGTGTAAAACCACACAGTCACAATAATTCCTTCAATAACTACTCTATATAATATTCTGACTCTGCAAAACACAGAGTTACTTCTTTGTATTTGACTTCAAACATACGTTTTACAAAATTAGCTTAAGTAAGGTATTTGCAGTAAGACACGAAGGATAACATAAAAGAAAAATAGAAAATATGTGTTTAAAATTGAGTGTTCACCTGGGAGGGGGGCATTTAAAGGTTTAAGGTGGCTATGCTGACACAGTAGTTGTGCACAAGAGACTTAACAGTTTTACTTGACAGGCCACAGCGGCTTTATTAAAACATACTGCGATTTAAAAAAGCAATGGGTAATGTGTGTCTGAGCACGTAAGTGAATGAGTTAACTTTGCTGTTCATGTTTGGCCTTTAGCATGCGTGAAGCAATGAGAGCGCAGAAAAGGGGAGCCACCAGTGTCCGACTGGGGGCCACCTCCGTTTCCAGCAACAATTCTCTTTTTTTCCAGCTGGCTGGGTCTAGTTTGTATGGCCTAGCTGGAACCCTTTCAATTCTGTCCCACTTGTCCCCGTGCTGGGCTCCCTGCTCCAGGCTTGCCTGCCACCCCATGAATACCAAGCAGGCATACACACACATGCGTACATACACACACCAAATACAAGCTGGGTCTCTTTCTGCATCGTTGTATTAGGTCAGTCTTCAAGCCTGGCAACCAACCCTTCTCTGTCTGCACATGCATGTGTGTATACAGTCTGTTTTTGGATGTGTGTTTGATGTGAGTGTTTGATGTAGAGTCATTCAGGCTCTGTAATGTTCCTTCACAACTTTAGAAAAAAGGCCCACACCAGTGCTTTTGCATGTTTAAGACCATTAACTACAAATTACTTTCATTTTATGTTACTGCCAAACAGATTTTCCACCTTCCAGGCAGACATTTGTTTCATTTCCTTCTGGTAAAATGTGAAACTTTACTTGCAGAGTCTGGCAATAATGAACAGTACTGGACAGACAAGAACTACAATTCCAGTAATGTGACTTCAAATTCAAATTAAGTAATTACATTAGAGTTAGTTATCCCAGTAATGACCCATTGTGTTATGTCAACTGCAGGAAGATTAGCAACCATTGATGTGGAAGCTAAATGGGATCCTATAAAGAATAAAGAATCAAAATGTTCGATTTGATTGTTTGTTTGGTTGTCTGCTTTGAATGCTGTTTAAAGTAAAATGGCCTTCTTCACTAAGTCACCACAATAACACCTAACCCTAGTCTTTGAAAATCAGTTACAATATTTCATTGTAAGACCGCACTCTACATTAGGTCAAATAAAATATCAAGTTGATGTTTAATCCACTAACAGCTTACACAGTATGGCTTCTATAGCATTGTCTTACACTTTTAGTCCAGTTCTGGGAACAGTTCCAGTGTAGACCTGTCCACAAGTTGTCCCACTACAGACATGTGGGAACAACTGCACCCTACATTACCCTATCAACATTTGGAGCATTGCTCTTCCCTTTTCTGGTCCCATTTGTAACACAAGTTATGAAAGTCCAACTGCGTAACTCAAGGTTTCAAGAGGATATGTTTATAAAGACTCATCTGTAACCAGTTATAGCCAAATATAAGAGATAGAAAGAGGTAGGGATGAGGATTTGAGTGACACAGATTGGGAGAATAAACAGCAAAAAGAGACTTTCTGACACCTCTGGGAATGCCGTCATATATTCAGTAAAGGAGGCCAATAAAGTCAGGGGAAGTATGGTGTACAGAACTGTCCAGCTCGCGCCCAGGGGAGAGATATGTATTAGTGCTCTTACTGTATAGATTGATTTAAAAACATTGAATACACATGCACTGCGACTACAACCGTTCCTAAAAGTTAGAGGGAGGGAGGGAGATGCAATGGGGACTGAAAGCTAGTGAAAATGTTCCTCTAGATGATGTACATAAATCTCTGCTGATCACCTTCTGCTCCTTGGTGTATGACTCATGTTACTTTACACCCACATGCATGACCTCACCTTATAAAAAGAAAGTAGGCTTCTGCTGAATATGTGAAGATAAAGATCACAGTGTTCGGTATTTACCATAAAAAAACTGATTTAAGATGGTATCTCAAATAAAGCAAATGACTGACAAGCTAACAGAACTACTACACATCTTTTGTGTACTACAATACTGTATGCAGGGATATGTCGATGTAAAGAAACATCTATTACAGAGATTCAATCTCAAGTTTACACACATAGACTTTTGTGTTTAACAAAACTGTTTAAAGAGGCCCTATTATGCTTTTGGTTTGACCCTTTCCTGCAGTGTGTAATATACTGTAGGTTATCGTGCATGTAAATGGTCTGCAAAGGCTAAACTCCCAAAGTGCCCTCCAGAGGGAGTTTTCTCTCCCTCACACTCACTTAAAACATCATAGGAATCATAAAATAATAAATGACCACACAAGCCACATGTTAAGAAGTGCGAAAAACACAAAACACAATAAAAACATAGGATAAAATAGAATAAAATAAAAGCACACAGGTTACCCAAACGCCTGCCCAAACAGGAATGTCTTTAAATTACTTTTGAAAGAGTCAACAGAGTCTGCGGACCGTAGGTGAGCGGGCAGAGCGTTCCATAGCTTAGGAGTCACGGCCTCAAACGCTCGATCGCCACGGGTTAAGGTGGGTACGTGGGACAGACAGTAGACTGAGCATGTTTGACCTGCGAGAGCGAGCTGATGTATACGGATGAATTAGGTCGTGATGGGCTAAGGGTGGGATATTTCTAAATGCTTGACCAATCACAACAGAGCAGGCCAGCTAACCAATCAGAGCAGACTGGGTGAAAAGAAAAAAGAGGTGAAAAGAGGTGCTACAGCACAGACTGTGCAAAAAAGCACTTTTTCACATGACACAGTAGAGGCACAAAATACAAATGTTAACCTGAAAAAAAGCATAATATGTCCTCTTTAAAAAATGAAGTTCGATCTCAGAAATGTTGTGTTTGTTAGGTATAGTTAAACTATCATGCTTGCTGTGAAAACTGTATAAATACAAATATTCCAAAATAAATGAGTAGACAAAGGCAACATGCTAACTGTTGATGTAACTGCAGTATTCAGTATTATGACATGTCTGGCAGTTATCCATAAAAGTATCTTTGTATTTTGAACATCCAAACTAAAATGTTATAAAACACAAGGGGTGTGGTAGTACTCACAGCATGTGAGTCCAGCAAATCACCATTTTATCCACTACTTTCTGCATTTTCATCATGGTAAATGTGGAATTTATAATATCCCCCTGCAGTCAAAACCTAAACAACAATGGTGACTTTGAGTTGCCTTGCTTTTTTGGAAAATTAGTCAATCTCTAGCCTCAGCTCAGCCTGCATTTATTGGGGAGTGGGACTGTTGTTTTCTTTGTATAAACATTGTTTTTCTCTGAATAGTTTCAACCCTGTGCAAACATTAGGGCTGTGTGCCGGGTTCTTTGTTGCACCGATGGAATAAAATAGCTCAGAACCCACAAGCAGCCTGTAAAACCCTTCCAATCAATACAGTGAACATTGCCAAAGTATATGTGTAAAACAAAGATGTTAAACAAAAAGGTTTGGACGTTCTTTGCTTTTGCCATTAAAGCTGTTTTTCAGTGTGTACTCACCGTGGCGGTGATGAGTGGACCATGGAGCTGTGCGTAGAGCAGGGCCTCATTAACGTGGTCCCTGACCCCCAGAAGGGCTAGTTCCAGACTGTGGTGCCCCGCCATGGCGTGGGTTAGTTGCTCCAACAGGCTGGTATACCTCCTCCAAGGCTGATCCAGCTCCGACACGCTGGCCAAGCAGCCCCGCATTACATTCAGACAGTATCCCACGCAGGGCTTGATGAGCGTCAGTCCCCTGCAGTGGGAGCAGTAAACCATCTTCACCAGGCCCTTCACACACTCTTTGCTCATGCTGACATGTTCGGTGGCATTCATCACCTCCAGACCCTCCTCCAGGGCCAGGCCGAGCTGTCTCCCGGCTCCCAACGCCTCGGCCATTTCCTGGGCCATGACGGCTGGATGACTCCCGAAAGGGTTGACATCCTGCCTGATCATACGGAGACAGTCGCCCATTTCAATGCCCACCATCATGTTGCCTTCGATGCCTGGATTGATGAGCCTTGTGTAGACGAGTGGGAAGAGGTTGTTGAAAAATTGGTGAACTGACGCCTCCACTGACACGTTGGCCCCACGGAGGTAGAGGGACAGTGAGGCGAAGAGCTGGTTAACATGGGGGAGAGCATGGCGGGACAGGGATGGGTAGGTTCCCTCTAACAGAGAGCTCAGGTGGCCCTGAGAGAAGGATAGCAGGTACTGGAACATGTCTGCAAGAAGAGAAAAATATAGAAACACAGAGATTAGAGAAAGAAGGAATTACAAGGTTGGATTGACATTTCATTTGAAAATAATATTGAAAATCCTTGATGACGTGATTTACAAGTTCTCCCTGAAACAATGATCATGGCATCAAAATGCAAACACATATCCAACCCTGGCCCCTAACCACTTAAGCTTGGCTTGAGTGCATCAGTAAGTTGGGTTGAGAAAACAGTGTCAAGTTTTCCTATAATGTGGATGGATGTTATTTTGTATGATGTCATCACCTGTATGTCTTAAAGAGAATATATGCCTGTCTACAGAATAATAGAGAGAGGCTGGGGGGGGGATAGAGAGAGAGAGAAAGAGATTTGCATTTTCTGTGGCAAATAAAGTGTATTCCAGATTCTCCATGGGCTTTTGACAGCCACCAGGCTTCCAGTTCTTATGTTGTCATTTCCTGGTGAGCAAAAGAAGCTGTAATGCCTTACAGCTTCACATCAATGATGTCAGTGCAGAGGCTGATTAGTGCCAAAGAAGTGCCACTACACACTTAGCAAGTTACTGTTACTAGAGGTTGAAGCAAAGGGCAGTGGGAAAAAGAAAGACTAGAAATTTAGAAAAACAGCTTGTCTCCTTTTCCCGGTAATTTTTGGTCCTTTTAACTCCAAATATACCGCATAGTCCATCCCTATTTCATTGCTCAGTGATATGTTTTTCCTTGAAGAGGGGACTTTAAGAAAGTCATGGATATATTTGATTTGTTTCATCAAAAAAGATCACAGGAACATCAAAATGTGTGATCTTGCTTATATTACGCACCATCTTCTTCACTACCCTTCTATCCTCAATTCTTTAATAACCCTCCCCACAATCTCTATGTGTGTGTGTGTGTGTGTGTGTGTGTGTGTGTGTGTGTGTACTGGACACAACACTCTCCTCTGGGGTGTGATGTCAGCTTAAAAGCATGACCGAACATATGAAGGAGCAGTAGCAACTGTACAGAAATTGAGACAGGAAAAGGAGGGTGCCAACAAACCACACACACACACACACACACACACACACACACACACACACACACACACACACACACACACACACACACACACACACACACACACACACACACACACACCACACACACACACACACACACACACACACACACACACACACACACACACACACACACACACACACACACACACACACACACACACACACACACACACACACACACACACACACACACACACACACACACACACACACACACACACACACACACACACACACACACACACACACACACACACACACACACACACACACACACACACACATCCATAAAATGTGGACGGTGTTTGACAATTGTACTGCTAACCAAATGTTACTAATCATTATGCCATTAACCATAACAGTTTGCTGACTTAAGATTGAAAAAAAACTTTGATTGATGCTAACACTTAAATATTCATTCATAAGTCTACCTCTCGCATAGTGAATCTATATTTGCAGAGTGATTGGTACCAAATGTGTATGTGTGTGTTAGTGTGTATGCCTGTGTGTTTCCAGCCCCTCCCAGCTCACAGACAGAAGGACAACAACAGTCATATACTCCTCAACAGCTGCACTAATATGGCCGCTGTCTGTGACACAGGGGGACTCCCCCACCGGCCAGCAAAAGGCACAACTCATTTATAATGCACCAGAGAGCTCCATCGTCATGATCAGACCTGCTCGCGCACGCATGACATTCGAAGTTGTAGCCTATGAGATGAGCTTTACAGAGCGTGACAGCGTGCGACAGAAATAAAGCAGGCAGACAGGACAAGTAACGGTCTGTTGGGGATTATTACTGTAAAGCGAAGGGTGACAAGCGGTTCTCTGACTGAGACCCCGGGCGGCGGTGGATCAGGGGGGGAAATGGGTGTGTACCGATCAGAGGGTCAGTGGTTCGATCCCCAAACCCCTGCTGTCAGTATGTCAATGTGTCTTGAGCGAGATACTCTACAGCAGGGGTGTCCGAAATACGGCCCGGGGGCCAAATGCGGCCCACGGTCCATTTTGAAACGGCCCTCAGCTCATTCAAAATAGTATAATGGAGAATGGCCCACAAATGAACTTGTGCTTGTCATATATTGTACTTCTTAAATACAAATGTAAAGATATATTACATAGCCCACTTTTCATATCAATTCTGTCAATTAAAGTTGGAAAAAATGTCAAACAAATCGTAGTTGAATAAAAAAAGCCCAATAACTTCATTACATAACAAGCTTGAAATCTACCCTTCATATTTCCTCTTTTCATAAGCAATCTGAGGCTTCAGTTTTAAGGAATGAGCTGTCAACACAATAAAGTAAACCCTCTGTGATGTAGGCTGTTGTGTTTCTTAAAGCATTTTCAAGTATCAAGAATAATTGACCTACATTTGATTGATTTTGCTGACTTATAACTTACCTTATGAGCCAATAAACCTCTAGGGAGTGGCCCAGCCCTTCCTATATTTTTCTGTATGTGGCCCTCAGTGAAAAACGTTTGGACACCCCTGCTCCACAGCATTGAAGTGGATGTAAGCCGCTTTGGATAAAACAGTCAGCTAAATGACATGTAATGTAATGTGAAGTTCCAAGATGACACAAAAAGAGGAAAAAAACGAGAGAAAAAATAAAACCGAGCAAAAACAAGATTAGATTTGCAGAGAAGAAACAGTTTCGTTTCCACTCAGTGTTTCTTTCCTAAGCCCGAGGGGCTGCAGAGTTGGTATCAGTGGGGGGTCCACATGCTTGCCTTCCAGTCAGACATTTACACCACAAGATGTACCCACAAGCTAAGGTTACACTGCATTACATAATGTTATTATTAAATTATCAAGCTCAGAAATATCATGGTTTAATCTTACTCTCTTTGAGCAGGCCAAAACAAAACTAGACTGCTCTACAAGAAAATCAAGTTTTCTCAAAAAGACTCAATAATATTTCTTATGCTTCTCAATAGCACCATGACTGGATATTTCAAAGAGTTTCTAACAGGATCATTAAATCCTCAAGACATTCCATACTTGTTAAAAAAATCATATTCTTATTTGCCAAGAGAATGACACGGAGAGAGAACACGAAAGAGGAAAAAAGGGGAGGGTGGGAGACTGCCAGGAAAAATGAAATAAAAAGAAGCGACTGAACTCTTCAACAAGTAAAAACAACTACTGTAAAAGTGGACTCCACCTTGAGAACATGCTCTGACATCTGGATTCATTTGGCCCCTGGGTCCGGAGCACTTCCCTGTGTCTCCATGGCTGTTACTTCAAACATGTCCTTCTCTGAATATACAAAAGAAGAACCAGAGTGCACCTTTCTTCCTCTCTACACTTCCTCTAACAAACAAAAAACCGGATCCCATGTTTCATTCATTTTCAACATCAGATATGTTCTGTTCTCAATCATCCCACACTCAAATGTATCCGGTTTCTCATTTTGCGATAAATCAAGTGCAGTTGTTGTGGTTTTCTGTCCAGTTTCCAGTTCTGGGAAACATGGTGATAACTAAAAAACAAGAAACCAGCATCTTTTAAAGCCCTAACTACGATTGCATGATATTCAATTGGGTTTTATTGTTCTGGCTGACCACAGTGTCTGAATCTGAATCAACCACACTCCATTCAGACACACAGTGGTGGGTGGCTATCATTATCATTTCACATACTCCCATGGGTAATCCTTTTGGGAAATGAAGTCTGGCTGGATTGAGGCTGTTTTGCATGGGGCAATTATCTTTCATTTCCGAGGAAGTTCTCAAAACTCACTGTCATTCAAAACACTAATTGTCAAGCTAACTATACAGGAATAAAAGAAGAGGCTTGCTTTGTCTGTGGCCTTGTGGGGTTAATCTGACATGCGATAAACAAGGTATTAAAACGGATCAAAAAGCAACAGTGGCAAAGCAGAGGAGGCCTTTGTCCTGCAGGGGCCTACTGTAAACTGTATTTTGACTCTGGCTTGGGGTATTATACCATATCTTTCCTCCAATGCTATGCCAAGGCCACTCTCTGAGATCACTGGGTTTAATCATAAGAAGCTATTTCCACTTTTCATTCTGCATGGCAACCCAATGTTTTACTGGCACAATTAGTGTCACCATGGTGAAGCTGCCAAAATAACTGAGACAAAATAAGCTCAGTGGCAGCTCTGTGATTTAAGTCACAACTATAGTGTTTTCCGCCTTTGCTACCCAGCAGTCCCTGATGTCTAAGCCACTCTCACACTGAGAGACATGCATGTATGCGTGAGTACTTAACACAGTCTGAGTAGGTATTTAAGGCCAAGGCTTCATTTGTTGCCAAATCGCAGCATAGACAGCCATGTGGCACCAGACAGTTATTACAGACCAACATGCTAAATGTGTATTCAGGGGTTGGTTTGACAAACAGACTGTACTTTATGATGGGAAGTAGAAGTGGTAGTACTAGTAATAGAATATGATGAAGTTATTGTAGTGGTTGCGGTAAGTTACTTATTAATTAATATTTATAGCCCCTATGTGTAGCATTTGAGCATTTCTGACTTTGGTGACTCCTAGTGGTTATATCAAAATTACATTGTGGAGACAGCAACGCCTTTAACTCCAGAGCAACTACACATTTAATCAGATTCATGCGTGCAGTTTTTACAGTATGGCAGTCCAAAAGATTCACAGAGAAATATTTGTGGATCCATTCTACTGACCAATATGAGTCCACCTATGTGACCTCTGTAAACATTTTGGAAATGTATTTTCTCCCTTTAGATAAAACATGTTTTTGAATGTGTCCTATGGTTTAGAAAGTCGAGACATTTACTTGTTGAAATGGTCCATCAAGTTCCAATTGTAATGCAATTAAGCCTTGATCTTTAATACACAGCAAAAGTAACAAATCATTAACAATTATGAACCCTACTTAAAGGTGGGGTAGGTAAGTTTGAGAAACCGGCTCGAGATACACTTTTTGTTATATTCCATGGAATGC